TTTTCTTCACTGATATAACTGAACGTAGCCTGGAATAATATACCCAAAGTGATGAAGCCTTCCTATGTTTTGAAAGATGTTCAAAATATGCCAGGAGAACCTTTTCGTTACTACTATTCTAGATTCCTTTCCCTTTACACCAATCTTCAAGTTTTACATAGGCTTGCTCGTACGTTTGTCTTGATTTTTCCGGAAGTAGGGAATCGACAACGTTTTGCGCAATGCCTTCAATATCCGAAGGGACACTTTCAGAATCAGAATCACCCATATTAATATTATTTTTTGCATTTTGCTAAAACTGAACGCATAAACTGAACGTTTAACACAAAATTGAACCATCAATAATTGAGTTGTCAAAGTCAAAATGGAAACAAGCACGGTTACCACGGCGTCGACTAATATGGGCACCTGATAATTTTGAATTTTAATTTTTATGAGGATATCTCTGATATTTGAAATTAAATCAAATTCTTTGGATCGTCCCTCGTGTCGCGTCGTAGATTAAATTTTGAATGATACACGTTCGATACGAACTTTTTTATGAAACTTGTGTAACTAAGCTACTCGGCTAACGCCTCGTGGCTTAACGTTACACGCGTTTCATTATGATGTTCGTATCGAACTTGTATCATTAATAACTATTATATGCATGTATACATGTGAGTAATGTCTGTATAAGTAGTGGCTGTTGCAGGATAAAAATATTTTTTCAATTTATTATTTTTTCGTATGTACCTACCTATAATCTATATTATCTAATTAATAAATAATTTGATTGACGTTCACAAAATTCGTAAGACCAAGAACGACGTGAGTCTTGAAAATGTTCTTGCATTCGCCCATCACTGGACTTATTCAATGCGATTTTAGATTATATCAGATATTAGTATATTTTAATATTATTTTGTGTTTTATATTTGGCAGATAAACTAGCAATATAATATAAACAATTCGTTTAAAAGAAGGTCAAAATTTGCGATGTCTTATAGTATCTAAACATGATTTTTTTACAAATCTAGTAAATATGTTTTCCTGAATGTATGTTTTGGCAAATTTTGAATTACAATCATTAATTTTCGACATGCTATTAGAGAAAAATAAATATTTTAAAATCCAAAGTTCTTAACTCACAACTCTTCATTATAATTTCATCCAACCGCTAAGACGAAAAAAAGAAATAAATATATCTACAGTTCACATCAAATTAATTATAAATATATAAACATTATATGTTATTATTTACATTAACAAAACTCACCTTCTTCCTCCTTATCAGCACTTAAGGAACATAAAGGGCCATATTACTACCGCTTTCCCGTTCAAAATATTCTAATAAAGTTGCGATGAGTCTTTTAGGCTATTAAACTATCTTATACACTTCGCACTAAAAGAGGTTCTAAAAAGAACAATGTTCGACCTGCAAGGTCTGCTAGTAAACATTTTCAAGCTTAAAGTATCACAACACTATTTATTTAAACGAAAAACTCGTAATAATACAAAACTAAAGTGTCAAAACGAATGACTATTTCAGGCAATGACTAAAGAATATAAGGACATGTAACGCCCCTATACGGGCTGCAGCAGAATTTGTGACCTTTTTTTTTGTTTTGGTGGCAAACAATGAGATCATTTGGTCACCAGCGACAATTTTAGCGATTTTTAATAGTTTGTGTGTAATGAACTTTGTATAAACTTTATTACAATGGTGATTAGTTGTTCAGCTTTCAAGTGTAAAAGCAGCAGCGATGAGAAAGAGCCAGGAGTTACGTTTCATAGGTAAATAAACAGTCCACTCCAACTTTTTAACGTTTTCTTATTGAATTCGATAATTATTCTTCAATTTCAATTAACATCTATATGTACTTGATATGTGCTATACGTCGATACTAGTTTTGTACCTTTTGTTAACATTTTAATACGTTTTTTTCGTAATTAATTAGGATGATACACCATAGGCGTAGTCAAAACAATTATCAAAAAATATAAATATTGCTTCAAACAGCTAGGTTAAGAAAAATATGTGCTACGGCACTGTTTGGTGTCATCGTCACAATTTGCTCTCGGGTGTTATTTGTCCTTGGATTCTTTAGTCATTGATGTCAGGAAATAAATAAAATGAGGCAACTTGACATTTTTACAGCAGAGCTATCACCTGAATCCCCAGCGTGAAATTTAAATTCCAGTTAGTCAGACGGTGCCGAATATGTCCATGGTTGGCAACAATGAATTTAAAAATTGCGCCCTCGATTACGTAACTACAAGTTTAATTGATAAAATATATAAATATTGAAAAAAATGATATTTACTTTATTTGCCAGAAATAACTATAAAAATATGTTTCTTTTTTTTCTATGTTTTCCCAATCCCAACCCTCCTGCAGAACTCACGAGCCGCCACTGCTACTGACAACACTGTAATTTACTTTTAATGTAATTATTTTTACATAAAGCAAACATTTTGACTTGTTGTGTCTTGCTCATTCGTATAATTCTCAATAGATTACTGTAATGAATCCGTCAATTGAGTTTTAGATATTACGTTTTTATATACAGGGTCAGTCAATATACACTTTTAAAAAGTTTTATATACAGGATTATAAGTGCAAATATTTTTAGGGGCTTTATATTCTTGGAACACGAGATTTTTTTTGCAAAAAAAAGATGTAGAAAATCGTGCATTTCCTTTAAAAAAATTTAAAACTTTTTAGAACTGCCTAATCACCAAGTTTTCCAAGGATATGATTTGTTAATCTCTGATATTACCATGGTTACGGCACTAAAAGGGAAAAAATCCGACGGCTCTCAAAATTTTTTAAAAATATATTTTTTTTAATTTTCAAACTTGAATAACTCGGCTATATTCATAGATAAAAGAAAATAATCTACTATTAAGATAGATATGAAACTTAATAGTAAAATTTTGGGTCAAAGCGCCCCTCCGTGTTGTTAGTAGAGACTACGTTTAACCCAGCGCCTTCGCCTTTTCTCCTGTAAATGTTTTTTATGTTTATACTTGAATTCAAAGGATTTATTTTTAAAGTTACACTGATATATTAGTATATCAGAGTAACTTTAATAAAACATAAGAATATATATATTTTACAGTTTATTTCTTTATGTATTTTGCAGAGTTTCATGTAAATGATCGTAAGTCGACTAGCTGTCTAACGAATAGACATATAACATATATTTTTCTTTTATCTAAGATAATACCTTATCGTCTTTTGGAAACACGTGCATTTTGCAGTTTTGTTAGTTTCTTTGCAAGATGCAACACAACAAGAAAACACCATTTTTACAGTTAATAAATAATAAAACTATTTCTGACAATGATATTTAAAATTTATATAGATAGAAAATTAAAAAACAAACCAGTATTTGCAGACGCAGGCCCAAATTCAATGAAAATCAAAATTTTTCCTGCGAAAATCAGGCTTTTTTTCACTGAAAAGGAATCAGCAATCATTGTCAAGTTGACAATATACAAGGTGTTTTCGAATTAGCCTAAAAAAAATGTGGTGTGATTCCTCATGATGTGTTTTTAAAACAATTTTTATATAACCATTGGGTCTAAAGTACTGCCTTTCTGATCTACAGGGTGTTAAAAATTAAAAAAAATCGATTTTTTTTGCTTAACATAAATGGTACACTACTGCTTTTTTAAAGAAAATATATTTTTTTCTTGACTGACCATCCTTTTTCAACAAAATTGATCTTTTGAGTTTTTCTTGTTCATCAAACGGTAGTCGACAAAAAAATAAATATACTTATTAAGAGCCCGCCTTAATCCGTTTTCTAACGATTTTTTATTTTTTAGATTAATTAGGAAACACCCTGTATATGCATATCACAGGCAACCAAATAAACTACGTAGTAACTAGTGTTGGGAAAATTCGAATTAAATAATACGACTAATTCGATAGTAAATTAAAACTAACTAATTCGAATTAACTTTTTCGATATAATCGAGATAAAAATTAGTAGTATTTTATATTATATCTGTGGTTAACCGAATTACAAATCAACATAAAACATAACCTCTTATGGACGAATACGAATATTAGTAATTAGTATAGTAATATTAGTAGTATTCTTTCGTTCTGAACGAAATGAAAATTTTCACTTAAACAGATTTATAAAGGGAATCGACAAAGAAAGGAACGATCCGATATAGAAAAATCCAGAAATCATTGTTATTTCCTATACCACGTAGGAATATATCAGTTTAAGTGAAAATTTTCATTTCGTTCAGAACGAAAGAATACTACTATTATTTGGTTCATTTCCATTTCACACAAATTTCACCGAACACCTGCCGAACACTAAAATTAATTTTCTTCTTTTATCTAAATAATTATTGATTGCAACTGATAAAATAAAAAGAAATACGAAAAAATACGATACTCGGCACTTTTAAATTTAAAACTTTAAATTATGGTTTAATTTATTAAACGGCTTCGGCACAGTTAATAGAATACATTGAATAAAGAATATTTTTTTCATTTTTTATTCAGTGATAGAATATAGGTATGGCAATGGTTCAGAATTTGTTTAAAATAGCCCCTAGACGAGCACTAGCTGGGACGAACTTATTTTTAGGTTAAATTTATAATATTACTAAATAATTCGAATTATTAATTCGATTGTGAAATATGAATTATTACTAATTATTCGATGGTGAAAATAATTCGATTATTCCCATCACTAGTAGTAACCTCTAAAAATTATTTTTCCTACCACTAGCGACATACCGTGTTTTTAGTGTGTACTAAATTATTTTATCAAATTTCACCCTCGTACACAATATAAGTTTCCAGGCAATGGCTATATTGGACTTATTTAAACAACGGTAAAGAGAAAGAGATCCACTAGCCCTGAAAATATTTGCAGTTATTTAAGACTCGTCCTCTATATACGGATTGTATTTTAAATTATCGCTATTAAGTGTATTATGTTTGTTTACTTACAATATAATCTACAAAAGTACCTTTTGGATTTCAGATGGGAATTAATCATCTACTGTTAGCAATGGCGCTTTTCAACCTCGTTGTGTCAACACGCTCAATGGACGATAGTATTTCGCAGATTTTGCAGGAGCAAAAGAAAAGGTATTGTGGTAAATTCCTAGCCGATACATTGGCCACATTGTGTAAAGGGAACTACCAAACCATCATACCGGGTGAGCAAGATAATTATTGTAACTTACCTATTTTTATTAGAACTATATATATTTAAGACAATTTTAATATCTACCAACATTTATTGACAACGTAAAATAAAACAACAAGTTAATAAAAAGTTGGTAGACAGTTCTTTTAGTTTCAAAGTAAAGGAATTTTTCCAATTTTGGTCTGGTTATTTCCCCTATCCGGTTATTTCCTTTATCCGCCACCTGGGGTCGCGTCCGATGGGAGTTTGGAGTTCTCCACACGGATTTTCTCAAAAACGGACTACGGAAACACGGAATATCTCAAAAACTGCGACTTTGACTGATTTTGATGTTATTACAAATTGTGTTGCAAATATTATTCCTAATCTTAAATTGAGAACCGCGTTTCGCTAGCTACTGTAATTTTGGAGTTACGATTTTTTAAAATTTTTAGCCCCCTCCCATACCCCCTTACCAACCCCCATCCCCACCAAAAACTAATGGCCAGATTCTCGAGTGCCACAGTATTTTTGTGCCAAATTTGGTTAAAATCGGTTTAGCGGTTTTTGAGTTACCGTGTTACAGATGGACAGACGGACAGACACACAGACACCATGAAAATATTTTGTATTTAGGTCAATTATGACCCAAATAACTCATTCAGAGATATTAAAAAAATTTTTTTTGCTGATCTTAATAGTCTACTATACCTGTTGGTATGGTCGGCTAAAAATGTCAAAAAATTATAATTTAAAAATTGGAGATTTTCCAGGTTTTAATTAACACGAATTTTTAGGTTCCGCTTCTACAAGGTCATACCCGTTCCAAAGTCGTTCACTGTCAACATCGATGCTGGGCAGCTTGCGGAGAAAACGGAGAAAAAGAGGTGTTTACAACGAATGTTGTGAGCATACTTGTAGTAAGGAACAATTATCTTTGTACTGTGCGGCTGACAATTCCTCTAGCTGAGACAAAGATTGACAGAGAATTAGCTAAAAAATTCTCTTTAAGAAGAAATATATCAAAAATAATAAGAGACAGAGGTAAAATGAACTGCAAACTTATTATGATCTTAGAAGGAATTACTATTGTTTGAATTGAGTTTGAATGAACCGAAGTTTCGAGAACCTATTTAGTTGGTTTTTATTTATTGGTCGTTTTATATACAGTAGGGTGTCCGTTATTTACAAAGTTCATTTCTCTTACGACGCCCTCTAAGTTTTTAGTTTATTGTCTAAAAAACAATAACAAACCATTGTAAACCCTTAATATTCACAATAAACCTTGCCCCAAAGACGATTCATTTCCCATTTAAATTACATGGGAATTTGCCACTTTTTGCAAATAATTTTTTTTTCTCTCGATTTTGTTTTCTCGCAGCCATGAATTACACATTCTTATACAGAATTGAACGCTCTACAAAAAAGGTCTCTAACAATTTTTCGATAAACCTACTCCTTCAAAAGTTATTCACGGTTAAAGTTAACCACTCGGTAAATTCCCAAATTATTAAAATTTTTTGACTAAATTATTGTTCTCGCCTTCGTCGTCTTTGGGGGTGTTTTAATTAAAGGGAGAAACTATTTTTTAAAGGTTTTGTATTGGCCTGAATCCTTTTACAACCTGCATCTTTGAGATCACAATCGAAAGAGAGCGAATTTCTCATTTCTTTTTTGGGACTACCCATAATCCTTCGAAGTTGTGACACTTCGTTCCGGTATCTTTGGTTGCATAACCAAGAAGCATACCATTTAAATTTAAAACCATAAAATTATTGAATACTACAACACTCCCCCCTGGCAAAGTGTCACAATTTCTTGTTTCTTTAATACAATACAAAAAACAGCATGGATAAGCCATTAAATAACTTAATTATTGTCAAGTACAACACATTTGTAGCAACTTATTAAAGTAACAAAACTAAGAAATGCAAATAGATCTAAAGAAATAAACAGAAATTATATTTTTCATTTACTTAACTAAAATCTTAAAACTAATAGGAGCAACTTCACATACATTATGGAATAAATGACCGGCCAATTATTTAATTCGGTTCACAATTTCACTTACGGGCAACAACGGCACACGCGACGTTTCACTACACGGCGGGGGCGTTGATTTGAACTTTCGTTGGTTACGGGCACGGCAGGAACAAACGTTGGGGTTGGACTAAAGTTGGGGATCGTAGGCATGGTGGTGTCTGAACATTCACTTTTCAGTGTATTGTCCGGCAACTCAGCAGCAATGTCAGGATCGGCTTCAGAATCTGAATACGACAGACTGTCAGTATATTCAGATATGGAATGGGCATCTCTGGAACTTCCAAGAGGGTCAGTAAACTCATCCGAGCTTACCAAAGAAACATTATCGCTGGCTAAATGGATAGTAGGGGCGCCTACACTAGTACTGTCCATCTTCTTAACCGAGTCGGAACGAGACGGGATAAACTGGTCCACTTCCAGCTCTATCTCGTTAGGGCAACTCGTTTCGTGAGGATGGGATACTATGGCTACAGCTTCTTCATTCCCTGGAGCAGGTCTAAGGTCATCAACATGAAGTCGATAGGGTTTTCCATCTCGCTCTACATCGTAAACTTCTTTACTTATCAAGGCTAACACTTTGTGCGGTCCAGACCACACTGGATCAAACGGATGTTTGAACTGTCGATTGTCACGTACCATGACAAGGTCGCCTTTTTTGAAAGAAGGTGGAGGTTTAATGGGTTCAGTTGTATACTTGGCTTGGTAGTGTTGTTGGTGCTGTCTGATTTCTTCATGACTTTGGCTCAAGTCACTTATGGGATTCTTGGTTGGTTGAAGACTTACAGGTAGGTTCCAGTCTCCTGGACGTGGTAATTCATATCCTAGTAGACATTTACTAGGAGTGGTATTAATGGCTGCATTTTTTCTTGTTCGTAAAATAAACAAAGCTTGACCAATGTACTGTTGCCACTTATTCTTTGGCTGGTCTGCAAGGAGTGTTCTTATGATTTTCTTAAGTTCTTGGTTACGTCTCTCAACTGGGTTAGCTCTAGCATGATATATTGGACTATACTTCAACTGAATTTTATATTTTCGGGCCATTTTAGTATAAAGTTTAGAAATAAATTGTGGGCCATTGTCAGAAACGATAGTTTGAGGAGTACCAAAACGATAGAATATCTCATTTTCTAAATACCTGACTAGATGTTGGCCAGTTACTTGCTTAAAAGTCTTGGCTTCAACCCATTTACTGAAAATATCTTCTACAACCAGTATATATTGATGGCCATAAGTAGATGGAGGATATGGTCCCATAATATCAACACTAATTTTTTGCCAAGGATGTTGTGATCTATGTGGTCTCAATGGTGCACTGGTCTGCGGCATGGTTTTCATGGATAGACACATCCTTTTACAACCTGCATCTTTGAGATCACAATCGAAAGAGAGCGAATTTCTCATTTCTTTTTTGGGACTACCCATAATCCTTCGAAGTTGTGACACTTCGTTCCGGTATCTTTGGTTGCATAACCAAGAAGCATACCATTTAAATTTAAAACCAAATTTAAAATTATTGAATACTACAACATTATGCTTATTTGTGAAAAATTTAATCTATTACTGTAAAAATATACAATTCTGAAGGTGTTAGGGTATGGAATTACGAAATCTTCAAAGTCTAATGAAGTTTAAACCATTTAAGCTGATTTGTTTATTAAAATAAATCAGCTATACTTAAATGGTAGGAATAACTTTTGAAGGAGTAGGTTTATCGAAAAATTGTAAGAGACTTTTTTGTAGAGCGTTCAATACTGTACAAGAATATATATGATTGTCATGGCTGCGAGAGAACAAAATCGAGAGAAATAAAATGTTTGCAAAAATTGGAAATTCCTAATGAAATGAATCGTCTTTCGGGCAAGGTTTATTGTGAATATTAAGGGTTTACAATGGTCTGTTATTTTTTTAGACAATAAACTAAAAATTTAGAGGGCGTCGTGAGAGGAATGATCAACTTTGTAAATCACGGACACCCTAATATACAGAGCGATTCACGGCGATGGCACGTTAGTTGTTTATTGAGAAACGGTGATTTTTGTATATCAAATCTGTCTAAATTAGTTTCAGCATTACAATGTTGCCTCTTCTTACTAAAAGTGGTAACATCTTTGTTACTTTAAATAGAACACCCTCTACACGGTGGCGCCTCTCATACGACTTAGAGGTTTGAAGGAGAACGACAGTTTGTATTCAAATTAAATTTTTTGAGCATATGTATATGTAGGTTAATTTATAGCATTCTCTAAAAACATAGAGAGTTCTACAGAGTGTCCCCAAAAAAGTCATACATTAAAGTAGGATTTTTTGTAATGGAACACTCTATGCAGGGTGCTACAAATTCGAGGTACAAGCATTGGTATCTCGGTAACTGTAATAGATACTGTTACGTTTTTCGTCGGTTCCGTGTGGATAGAAAGTCACAATTTATTTAAACACTATTTATTTAACACTAATTAACAAAAAAAACAATAACGATAAAAGACTTATAGAACTATATACAAACGATTTATAACTAAGAATTTATTTTGAACTTTAGCGCGTCAACTGTACTGTTTATTTATAACTGCCCCCTGTAGGCCACAGCCGCCGGCTTTTATACCGACAGGTAAAGAACTCTACAATAGTCCATAGATCGTTAGGTGCGTAGAGAAGGTTTTCGAATGTTCTCGTATGTACTAGTCCATTCCAGTGGGACTCGATTCTTCTCGAACGAATGAATCATTACGGGGTCTATTCTTTAATGCGATGTTAAGGTCATCCGAGGGCGGGCCATATTGTGAGGTTAGGTCGAGTCCACACCGGTCCGCAACACTGCCCCCTTCTTAGGCACATGCTCGTCCCGAGATGTACACGGTGAATGAAGGTATTTGCAAAGCTGGCCCCTGGTACATTGCGAAGTCTGGTAGAAATAGCAGTCTACAGTTTTCTCTCCCGATCTCAGCTTTGGGTTGTAGCAGCAAACGAGGATCTCGATTCCCGTAAATCTGAACAAGACTTCAATCATGTTCCGGATTGTACGCCAACTCAAACCATCGAGTCCACACGCCAGCTTCGGAATGGCTAATCGTGCAATGTTGTTGTTTAGCAGGGCTTCTCTCAGTTCAATCAGGGTCTTCCATAGATTGAGATAAGTCGGCTTACTCGGGGACCATTCCTTGGTGACCAGGTAGAAGATGTGCCTTGCTTGACCATGTGCATTGTCGGTTAGCCTCAAGACGCTTCCAACCTCTGGATCCTGTCGGCGTAGTTCTCCGACACGCCCAAACTTCTCATTGAACGTCGCAGCGATTCCTCTGGACATCCGCAAATCTCGAGCCACACAATGAGCGAGCGAATAATCAGGAGGCACGGAAAAGAGGTCTCGTTGATCTTCTTTGGTTACACCATAGCGAGCCTTCTCACTGCTGTTGTATCGGGCCATGAAATCGTCAAAGGACATCTCCGAATCAGGGGGATCAAAGCTGCAGGTTCTCACGGTCCCAGCACGATCTTCTATTTCGCCTTGGTAGGGGCTCAAACGGTTGAAATGGACTACCCTCGGTTTTCCTTTTGGCAATTTTCTGATACGGTATACGACGTCATTAATTCTATCCATGACTTCGTATGGCCCTTCCCACGAGGATTGTAGCTTCGGAGATAACCCACGACGTCTCTGCGGGTTATATAGCCACACCAACTTCCCTGGTTGGTATCCTCCATGCTCAGCTTGAATGTCGTAGTGTTCCTTCATTCGGTCACTAGCACTTTGAATATTTAGGCGGACTCTCTGATGAATGTCGTCCATCCTTTGACGTAGTGTGTGGACATAATCTTCTCCGGCGACTTCTTCTCCCGGTCGGCAACCAAATTTCAGATCACAGGGTAGGCGCACTTCCCGTCCCATAACGATGCTGGCTGGAGTTTGCCCTGTAGATTCTTGGACGGATGAACGGTAGGCCAACAGGAACAGGTGAAGAAATTTGTCCCAGTCTCTTTGGTGGTCAGAGACTACTTTGGCCAGATAACGGTTGATAGTTCTGTTCATGCGTTCAACCATCCCATCGGATTGTGGATGTAGAGCAGTCGTCCTGGTCTTGCGGATGTTCAGGACTTCACAGACGCCTTGGAACAGATTGGACTCAAAGTTTCTTCCCTGATCTGAATGAAGCTCCATGGGAACAC